TCTCTCTGTGTTTATCCTATAATAATTATTATTGGTACTCCATTGTGTGTGTGTGTTCTTGGAGACTCTCTGTGTGTGTGTGCACCTGGGCTTGCACTGTAATAATGATAATGATGAACTGTTTTTTGCAGTGAAAAGAAAAGGAAATAATGATAACAGATGAATTTATATTTATAATTGCATATATACACATATAGACTTACACCCATAGTTGGTGTATTTCTGTGTTTACTGGGTAAATTGGGCTAATTGTTTAATATCAGTTTTCTTTGCTTGTTGATTTTGCTGGGTGGGTTCATCCTTTTTGAGATATTTGTGAGTGTGGGTTTTTTTTGTTTTTACTCTTACTGAGGTTGTTGGGTTGTATTGCATTCTTTAAATGGTAGGTTTTACTTTTACGATGTGAGTTTCCATAGTGGTAATCGATGTTTGTGTGTCTTAACATGTTTGATACTTCATTTATTTTTTTTTTTTTTGCTTTTTGATTGTGTTTCTTTCTAGAGCAGTGTTTTTACGCAAACCCTTGTCTCTCTCATGATGATGCGCCGTGTGATGTGTGTGTTGGCCGTTGTGCTGTGCTGTGCTGTGCCTGCGGGTATACCATGACGGCTGCTGCTGCTGTTGATGATGACAGTCCCAGTGGCCGTGGTGTATCCCGTGGGGCTGTGGAGGTGTCGTGCGGGGCCGGCGGTGCGCTGCGTGTACGCCCCGCTGCTGAGAGCGAGTGGCTTACATGCGGTGCGGGCAGCCGTGTGTCTGCATGTGGGAAGTACGCAGACATCTGCCGCCAGCGTACCGCAAGAAAAAAAGCAACAACAACAACCACCGCTGCTACTACTACAACTGCTGGACAACCAAAGGCGGTGATGGCTACTCATAGTGGTTTTGGTAACTGGGATGATTTTCTTGCAGCAGCAATCCATGATCATAATTGTAACAATAGTAATGCAGGACCTGTTAATGGAATAAGTTGTGAGAATTGGAATAAAAGTAAGAATATTGATCATATAAATTACAGCCTTCCTAATTTGACAAATACTCAAGCACCTGTAAGAGAGGTGGTTCCATCTCAACGTGAGAAAGAACTGAGGCAAGATCAAGAGGCACCACGTGCGGAAGAAGATCGGGTACGTGAGTCCACATCACAAACCACGTTAACAGGCACCGTTTCAGGACATCAAGCAACTGAGAGTGGACCAGCAGTGACACATCCCAGTGAGTCTGAGAGTGGTGAAGCACATCCTGTTGCGAATGTGGAACGTGCGCCATTAGCATCAAGTACATCTGCAGAACCTCCTTCTTCCCCAAGAGCTCCTGAAGATAGCAGCACAACCGTAGCAGCATCCACTAACGAGAGTACAGGTAACAGTTTACCTGGCGATAATAATAGTACTCAACAACCATCTTCTGAAGGTACGACTGCACCTAATTCTATTTCTGCTGCAGACTCACAAGAAACCACTACCAGTAACGAGAGTACAGATAACAGTACTTCTGGCGCGGACACGGGTGTGAGTGGGAAAACGGAAACGGAAGAAACCACAACCACTACTCCACCGAGCACCGAGAGCACTACCACAGATGCACCAACAACAACTTCATCACCTGTACCCAACGCAGAGATCAACACCATCATCGCTTCCACAGTTCAGAAGAACAAGGGTAATGTTGACAGCAGTATGAGTCCTGTGTGGATGCGCACTGCAGCACCGCTACTGATTGTGGCTGTGTTGTTCTCCGCTACCGTGTACTGAACGGTGGGACTCATCTGAGGACAAATAATAATAATGGTAATATTAACATAATCATAATTGCGTACATCCACCCCATGGGTGAATAAACTAATAATCTGTTTACTAGCTTTCTCTTTTAATTCGAATATCTTTTCTTTTACTTTTATGTGTGTGTGTGTTATTTTTCTAATACTTCCATTACTTGCTTTTCCTGTTGTGTGTGTTTGCAGAAAACTGGGCTGTTCTGCTCACTGACGGTATACATCTCTTGCTAGTACACAGATGTGTGTGCAGTAATTTAATATATAAACTAGAGCCATGGGGTATTGTGTGTGTGTTTGGCTCTCTTTCTCTTATTTGGGTATTGTGGGGTCTTTTTTTTCTATTAAGGGTTACATATTATTATCATTCAAGCGGGATATTTCTTGGTGTTGCTTTACTGTGCTGCTTCTCTCTTTTCCACTGTTAGTATTTGTTGTATTGTTGTATTGTTTTTTTTTCTTGTTTTCATTCTTCTTTCTTGAGTTAGTCTATTGAAGTAAATAACAACAATGGCAAAGGCTGTAATCGTGAAGTGCTATCTGCTCTGTTTACTAACTCTTGCACTGTGTTGTGCTTGTGGGTTAGTATGGGCTGATAATCCTAAGACTTCAAATGCCCTTATTAAAACTTCTACTGTTGGTGTTCCTTCTCTTGTTCGTCGTGCTATTCCTGCGTTTATCTTCTGTTTTGATAATGATGAGGATGAAGAATGTCATTGTGTGAAGGAAGAACACAATGGTGGGGATACGGAACATGTTTCTGCAGATGGAGATGGTGTTGCTGGTTCGCATTCATCCTTGGACAATAAATCCAGTATTCCTGGCGGTCCAGATAATGAGCCAGGCCTTACGCAGGCGGGTGGTGAAATTCAAAGAGGTTTGGAAAGTAAAAGCGCAGGTCAATTAATAAGTTCAAAAGACGAACATGGTAAGGATTCTCCACTACTTCCTGCCATTTCAGCCAAACCACCCCAAGGTGAGGACGGTGTGAATAGTTTGGTTTCCCAAGCTAACAAAGGTGATAATGGTGAGAAACAAAGTGATAATGAAAGGAGGGAATTATCACAGACAAGTATCATCAATCCTATACAGGGTGAAAATGCACAAGAGGAACCAAATAGAAACTCTGAAGTAACACCTGTTGCTCAATCTCCCAGTGATCCCAATGGAAATTCTGAAGTTCCACAGACCCCCAGTCCTAAGCCACAGGAACCATCGTCTGTAAACCCACAAGGGAGTAAGGAAAAGGAACACAACGCCCAGAGTAATACTGCTAACACTGACAATTCCACTCTACCAAGTAAGGATGAATCAACCACCACCACCACCACAACAACAACAACACTTCCTCCTGAACTCACAAACAACAAGAAGGGTGATGCAGACAGCAGCAGCAGCAGTATCAGCAGTTCTGTGTGGGTGCGTGTACCATTACTGATTGTGGTTACACTGGCCTGTATTCTTGTGTGCTGATTGTGATGTGGTGTGGTGGTGTGACTCAGGCCATCCTTTGTTTTCTTTTTCTCTTTTCTTTTTTGCATACATCCCTACAGTCTAACTAATCTTCCACCTGTTGGGATTTACTTTTTTTTTGTTTCTTAATGTTATTGTGTTTTGTGTGTTTTTGTTCTCTTTGTGTTTATCCTATAATAATAATTATTATTGCTGCTACTCCATTGTGTGTGTGTTCTTGGAGACTCTCTGTGTGCATCTGGGCTTCCACTGTAATGATGATGATGAACTTTTTTTTGCAGGAGAGGAAAAGGAAATGATAATAACAGATGAATTTATATTTATAATTGCTTATATACACGCATATAGAGGTGCACCCATAGGAGGTGTATATTTCTGTGTTTACTTGTTAAAGGGGGCACAAATATTTAATTTTCTTTATTTACTTGCTTTTTGCTGGGTCGTTGTGTGCTTTGCCCTGCAGCGTTTTGGTATTCTGTTTTTTGCAGGGGGAAAAATATTAAATGTTACACATAATTTCATTCTTTGCTATATATGCTGTCCACCCAATGAAGAACTCTATATTTCTCTATTTCCTGCTCTTGTTGGTCGCATTTTTTAATTTATTATATGTCCTTCTTTCAGAGTTAATTGGGGTTTTCAGTTTAATACTGGGAATTGTGTTTTTGTTTTGTTTTGTTTTGTTTTAATTGGACACTCTGAGAGTTATTATTTCTTTTTTGTTTTTTGTTTATTTGTTGCAGGTGGATTTGTTTTGTTTATGTTTGTGTTTGTGTGTTTATTTTATTGATGTGTTGCCTTTCTCTTTTTATGCTCTTATTTTTAATGGTGTAGTCTAATCTATTTAGGCAATGCCCACTTTTTATGACTGCGATGAAGATGCTCCAAGATCTACTACTCCTATCAGTGAACCTGTTCCGTGTGTGTGTTTTTGTTGCTTCTGCAGCGTAATGTGAACCTTGTGCTGATGTTTGTATTTCTTCAGTGAGTGTTGGGTCTCTGCCTGATTCTAGTGTTAGCTGTGTGGATGATAGTGGACTGCAGTCCGGATAGTTCCGTATGTTCCTTTGTGATGTGTGTAATTCCTGGTGTTTGTTTTTGGTGTTGATTTCTCTTTATTGGGTGTATTTGTAGTGTTCCATTCTTGAATTATCCTCTACTGGTTTAGTAACATCCATTTCTTTCTTAGCCTTACCGCCGTTCTATTGTTGAGATATCTTTCTCTGTGCGCTGACAGAAGACTGCCGCCTAAGCCATTGTACTGGTGTGGCTGATGAAAGTAGTTTCTCAATCCATATTAATTGGTTTCCTTCAAGTGTGGAAAGAAGAAGAGTTCACTCCAATGGATCCCGCCATTGGGTTCTCCCTCACTTGAATGAGTCCTGCCAACACCCACCCCAATAGTAGTGGAAGAGGTTTCACTATTCTCTCTCTCTCTTTCTCTCTCTCNTGAACTCACAAACAACAAGAAGGGTGATGCAGACAGCAGCAGCAGTATCAGCAGTTCTGTGTGGGTGCGTGTACCACTACTGATTGTGGTTACACTGGCCTGTATTCTTGTGTGCTGATTGTGATGGTGCTGGTGTGACTCAGGTCATTCTTTGTTTTCTTTTTCTTTTTTTTGCTTGCATCCACACTACAGTCTAACTAATCTTCCACCTGTTGGGATTTGTTCTTCTTTTTATGTTTCTTAATGTTAATGTGTTTTGTGTGTTTATCCTATAATAATTATTATTGCTACTCCATTGTGTGTGTCTGTTCTTGGAGACTCTCTCTGTGTGTGCACCTGGGCTTGCACTGTAATGATGATGATGAAATGCTTTTTGCAGTGGGAAAAAGAAAAAGAAATAATAATAACAGATGAATTTATATTTATAATTGCATACAGACACACATATAGACTTACACCCATAGTTGGTGTATATTTCTGTGTTTACTGTATAAATTGGGCTAATGGTTAATATCTGTTTGTTTTCTTATGATTTGCTATTTCGTTATGTGCTTCTCCTGCATTGTTATGATGATCTACTCAGGATAGAGAAAAAAACAGTAATTGTTACATATAATTTCATTATTGCTTGTAAGCATCAGCATACCCATTCTTCTGTGTTATTTTGTGCTTATTTGGGCATTGATTGTGCTTTTAATTTCTTTTTCTTGCTTTGTTCGTGTTTTTTTTGTAGTGGTGCTTCTTTATTGGATTCTTTATTGTTTATACTAGTAGTGTTGTTTTATGTTTACTGTTGTTTTTGTTATGTTCAGTTTCACCACCATTTGTTTTTGTTTCTATTGTATGGGATCTTTTTTTATTTTTTGTTTTTTATTCTCTTTTACATTTTTCCTTAACAAAGTGACGTAAAAGCAACCAAGAATTACTCTGTCCATGATGATGCGACCCGTTGTGTGTTTGCTGGTTTTTCTGCTGAGTGTTGCCTCTCTATGCGTGGGAGGCGAAGTGAAACCTGATGAGAAACTTTTACATGAAGCTGCTGCTTCGGAGTGCCCAACTGAATCTCAAGAGAGTTGTCCAACTGAAGAAAAAGCAGCAGCACCTCATTCTCCTCCTCTTCCTATTCAACAACCACAAGCACCTTCTGGTGGTGATGATTGTACTACTGGCCCTCCGTGTAGTACTAGTAGCCGTGTTGCAACTACAGCTTCTCCTACTGATTGTGAAACACTTCCTAAGAAGGAAGGTTGCCCTGAAAGTGTTCCGCAAACTGAAACCAATTGCGGTGAAGGTTCTGGTAATACTTGCCCAAAAGAGCAACAGGCTCTTACTGAAGCAGAAGAAGATACCCGTAGTGGACAAGATTCTAAAGGTGATCGTGGTTTAAGTGGGTCTGAAACTCCGCATTCTACCGGTAAAACAAGTCAAAATGGTCCTGGTGGTCCTTCTACTGATACTGATCCTTCTAACCCTTCTCCTAATGTTGCTGAACCTGCTGCTCCTGCACCTTCTGGTGAGAGTGTTGGTGCGTCTACAACTGCAGATCAACCTGAGACTAACAGAAACAGTGACGCAGGTGGCAATTCAATACAACCGGACGGTGATGCAACACAACCGTCTTCAGACAAAGAAAGTAACGATGGTTCTGAAAATACAAACACTGGGAGTGGCACTACATCTGAAGGGGATGGATCAACAAGTAACCAAACTGAAGGAGTGGCAGGTAACACAGATACAACCACCATCACCACAACAACACTTCCACCTGAACTCACAAACAACAAGAAGGGTGATGCAGACAGCAGCAGCAGTATCAGCAGTTCTGTGTGGGTACGTGTACCACTACTGATTGTGGTTACACTGGCCTGTATTCTTGTGTGCTGATTGTGATGGTGGTGTGGTGGTGTGACTCAGGTCATCCTTTGTTTTCTTTTTTCTTTTTTGCATACATCCCTACAGTCTAACTAATCTTCCACCTGTTGGGAGTTACTTCTTCTTTTTTTTTGTTTCTTAATGTTAATGTGTTTTGTGTGTGCTTTTACTCTCTATGTTTATCCTATAATAATAATTATTGCTACTCCATTGTGTAGGTGTGTGTTCTTGGAGACTCTCTTTCTGTGTGTGCCTGGGCTTTGCACCGTGGTGATGATGATGATGAATTGCTTTTTGCAGTGAGGAAAAATGAAATAATAATAACAGATGAATTTATATTTATAATTGCGTATATACACACATATATAGACTTACACCCATAGTTGGTGTGTATTTCTGTGTGTTTACTGGTTAAATTGGGCTACTTGTTAATATCTTTTATTTGCTTGATGGTTTTGCTGGATCGTTGTGAGCTTTGTCCTGCATTGTTATGATTATCTACTTTGAATAGAGAAAAAAAACAGTAATTGTTAGACATAATTTCATTATTGCTTATAGTGACCAGCATACCCAGTCTTCTTTGTTATTGTATGTTTGTCTGGCATTCGTTCTGTTTTTAAGTTCTTTTTCATTCTTTGTTGTTTTGCTTGGGATTGTTTGTAGTGTCTCTTTATTGGATTCTTTATTGTTTATACTAGTAGTGTTGTTTTATGTTTACTGTTGATTTCCTTGTGTTCTCTTTTACCATTTTTTTTAAATTTCTATTGTATGGGATTTTTTAAACTTTTTCTTTCTCTGTTCTCTTTTTCTTTAACAAAATGAAGTAAAGCAATCAAGAATTACTCTTGCCATGATGATGAGATCCATTGTGTGTTTACTGGTTTTTCTGTTGAGTGTGGCCTCTGTCTGCGTGAAAGCTAACGAGGAACCTGGACCTGAACCTGCTCCTTCGGATTGCACCACAGGTCCTTGTCCAAAAATAGAAGCAACAAAACCAGTTCCTCCTCCTCCTGTACTTCCTCTTGAAGCTGTTGCTGGTGCTAAAGGTGATACATGTCCTGGTGATGGTACTAGTGATACTTGTGGTGAAGGTGCTGCTGAAGATCCACGTGGTGATGGAGGTGATACTGATAAGGATGTATCTAAAGCAAAGAATACTGGTCCAACGGTACAATTACCTGAAGCTCCACCCAGAGAGAGTCCTGTTGTTAGTGATAGTACATCAACTAAAAGACCTGATGGAGCACATCCCGCTGGTGCTCAAGCTGAAGAAGAGAATCAGAAACCTCAAGGTGGGGAAACTCCAAATGGTAATGCTTCTCAAGCTGCGGAGGAAAGCGGTGTTCCTGCAGGTGACCCTCAACCTCAACAAAGCGGCAACAGTACAACAGAAGGAAATGCAACTAACCAGGGAGGTGAAGCAGCACAAACTTCGCCGTCTACCAATACTTCAGCCACCGGGAATGATGCTGCAAACGATGGGAATGACAATACAACAACGGGGAGTGAATCCACAAACAACAACGAAGGTGATGCAGATAATACAGAAACCACCACCACCACAACAACAACACTTCCTCCTGAACTCACAAACAACAAGAAGGGTGATGCAGACAGCAGCAGCAGTATCAGCAGTTCTGTGTGGGTGCGTGTGCCACTACTGATTGTGGTTACACTGGCCTGTATTCTTGTGTGCTGATTGTAATGGTGGTGGCGTGGTGTGACTTCGGTCATCCTTTGTTTTCTTTTTCTTGCATACATCCCTACAGTCTAACTAATCTTTTCACCTGTTGGGATTTCTCTTCTTTTGTTGTTTATTAATGTTATTGTGTGTTTTGTTTGTGTTTTTGCTATCTATGTTTATCCTATAATAATTATTATTGCTACTCCATTGTGTGTGTGTGTGCACCTGGGCTAGCACTGTAATGATGATGAAATGTTTTTTTTGCAGTGAAAAGAAAAGAAATAATAATAACAGATGAATTTATATTTATAATTGCTTATATACACACACAGAGAC